CAATAATTTATTCAGGCGAGCTAACCTGCTAGTAATATTATATTTTATATAATATATTATATTATAGCGGTTTCAGCGTTATGAAGCCGTAGGCCTGTCGCCGATTCTTAACATAGCAGAACATTCACAGCTTGTTGCGGTCTCGAACTCGCAACTCACTGCTCAAATTCTGCTTTGCTTAGTCACCCGGCCTCCTCGCCGTTTCTGACCAGAAACTGGCGCACAGAGCTGGGGTCGAACCCGCGCCTCTCTGCGCCAATCTTGGCACTCTGAACTGAACCATTGGGCTGAACACACCACACTCTGAAGGAATTGGACTTAGAATATTTTATTTACGTGGAAAAAAGTTCAAGTTCGATCAAAATTCGAAATAAATCTCAATCGTAGAAATTGTTTAGAATTGCAATATTTTATAACATAAACATTTTGGAAATTGCTAAGGAAACTCCGCGGTTCTTGCAACTCGCATTTAAGTATGGTTTACAAAAATGGCATTTACATGGTCTTCGTTCTGAAGCTAGTCACAGGTAATTTATTATTATTTGTCTAAAAATAAATTAAAACTCCGTCAAAAAAGTTCTAGATTTTATGAACTTTTCAATAGTTTTCCTGAAAGGTTTTCATTTTATTCTATTCTAAAATTTATTATATTCTACAAACAAACTAAGCCCTCTAAACGATTTCGTAAGCATTTACCCCGGAATATGTGTTAGTTACCCTTGGTTGCCTACTTAAAGCTTGGTTAGTTACCTACTTAAAACATGGTTAATTAACAGGATAAGCTGTAAAAAGGTTGTACCATGTTGCAAAATGCTATTCATGCTGAAATACACAACCTTCCGGGAACGTACAAAAATTCGAGTTGAATCTAATGTAATGCGCATGACTAGTGTTGAGATCAAGTATGAAACGATGCTTTACTTTTTAACAACTTCAATAGTGAAAAAAAAACACACTCAACTTTTATAATATCGATGGAGAATTACTGACCATTGTATAATTTATACCTATATTTCGCCAATCGCTATATATGCGTGTTTGTATAGCCTTTCGCTGGTACCTCCAATGCTCAATATGGTAGATTAAATCATAATATTTCATCAGCGCCTCTACCAGAATTTGGCAACTCGGGAAATGGGAATCCTATACTTTGTGTTATCCTACGGATCAACGAGTGAATTACTGATCATTAGAAATAAAAAACAGTCTGAAAATTTATATCATCTAAATACTTTGGAATTGTTTACAATATTTCCAAATTCCAAGTATTGGAAATTGTTCACAAGGATTTTGTTATTCACATTTCACAAGGTAGCAGATGAGGGACATCGTCGCTAATGCTATGTCAAATTAATAGTTATTTTATACAATAGTTATTTTATACCCTCATCGGCTTTTTTAGCAACACTATCAATAAAAATACTGAAGAAAACTACTGTACACTGCGATTGTAACAAATTTTTAACTATATCAATGTCACAAACTCATTCTGTATTGAATCGCTAGGGCATCCGCCCATCTCGAAAGAGGATGATTGCTCACCGTTCGTCAACGTGCAACTTGCTGATGACAGAGTATAGAATGGCTAAGCAGTCCGACACTGGCAAGATAGTCTCGGGCTTCGGCTTCAGTTGACGCAGAAATGTATATGGTTAAGTCAGATGACGCGGTGAATCACTGCAATGATGCTGAGTTCATCAGATGGACCGGTGCTCAACGTGTGCAAGTTCCAGCTTGAGATGCTAAGTGTGCACCAGGTGAGCTTGAGATGGTTTCCTGGAACTCGACTTAACGATCTGCTTTTCGACATAGTCTTATAGCCCGTACCAGTTTTCTTCCGTGTTGTGGTCTTACTGAGATGCGAGACTATAGTGACGACCTCTCCAGCGTGATAACCTGGGCTTAAACATGGAGATTGATTGATTGACTGATTTGATTGATATTATTGCTTAAAAATACGCGCTGCCCAAACAACAGGATCTCCTTCTTTGTCGTGCCTATTGGTTCCTAGAGAATTCAAGCATTACAAATGGTGCTGACTTGACTGCATAAAATAGAATAGAATAGAAGTGTCGGCGTTGAAGAAATAGGCCCATGGCCTGTTGCCGATTCTTGAACTTTTCGTGACTTGATTCACATGGGATCCGGCCTTCGGAACCCGATCTTTCCATAACTGACGATTGATTGAGATAGCTGCTGGACTTATTACCTGGTCCGTAATTTGCTAGGCATTTTAAGACTGAACATATGCTCCTGCAAAGCTTCGTCTAGTCTGTTTTTGAAGATGTTCATACTCGGAGCGTCAACGATGCTATCAGGGAGGCTGTTCCACATGTCGGCGACTCGAAGCGAGAAGAAATATTGTCGCATGGATTTGTTCCAACGCTGTTTTTTAGTTTATAGCCGTGGCCCCTGGTGTTGGTTCTTATTTCAAATTCTAGTATTCCTTTTGGGACCTTGTATAAGCCATGAGTATACTTGTATGCTTCAATGAGGTCCCCACGCAGACGTCGATAACTGAGGCTTGGAAGCTTCATAATCTTTAATATTTCCTCATATGACTTGCCTTTCAAGCCCGGAACTATCCTTGTTGCGCGTCCTTGAACACTCTACTCAATTTTTGTCCTTTTCAAATTTCTGTGACCACACGACGTTTCCAAACGTTCAGGCGCACGACAGCAACAAACAACTGCTTCATCGTATCTGCATCTAGGAACTCGAAAGAGCGTCTGATCAGTCCAAGTCGTTTATTGGCTTTATTAACTTGACCTTCAATATGCTTGGAAAATTTCAACTCATTGTCGATATTAACTCCTAAATCCTTTTCCGTTGTCGAGTTCGACATCATCACTCTGTCGTTGCAAACGTGTCTTCTCATACTGTAATCTTGCTGTTCATTATTCTTGCCAAGGTGGATAACTTTACATTTGTCACCGTTAAAACGCAGCTGCCACTTATCAGCCCAGTCAACCAGCCTGTCAAGAACACCTTGCAACTGTACTTTTTGCGACGTATTCTTCACTGTATTATAAATTTTTGTGTCGTCAGCATACATAGAGCAAACGCTAGATCCAGCTTCTGGCAGATCGTTTATAAACGCAACGAATAGAATAGGCCCGAGAACGCTTCCTTGTGGCATGCCGCTGCGTACTGAAGCCCAGTCTGATACGGACCCATTAATACTGACACGTTGTCGCCTCCCTACTAGAAAATCTCTTATCCATTTGAGTACATTACTCTCAATTCCCAAAGACTTCAATTTACACAACAGCCGCTCATGTGGGACACTGTCAAATGCCTTGGCAAAATCGAGGTACACTGCATCTACTGGCTCTGTTGCATTTACTGGCTACATAACTGCATAAGTTGCCGGAAGGTCGTCAAAGTTGACTCTCTCAGCTCCTTAATTGTCTCGAGGCTTTCTTTGAAGCACGGTAATAAAGCAATAATTTGCTCTAAAAATTGAGGTGGGACTCCTACCTCATAAGTACATGTTTCCGTATTTTTTTCGTTAATTTTAGAGAAGTCTAGTTTCCTGCACCAACAGTCAATCTTTTACGACGTTTTTGCGCTCGATTCAAGGGCTTTGCAGGATGATTTCTCCGAGTACAAGAGTTTGCAGTTTTGATACACGTACAGTAGTCCGTTGAGTTTTTGTTTGCCGTAGTTTAACTTAATTTTGAGCTTCATATGTTGAATTCAGAATAGCTATGTGCGACCTCCGCTGGCTTATTGTCACTGAAATCGGTATTGTTTTTAGATTGCTGTAATATAAGGTGGAATCTGTGTCAACCGTCTTACTCTTGCTACCTGAATTACTAGATGTTAAACAGGTTCCAGTAACTGATCTCAATCTCAAACAGGTTCATACTTACGTTATATTACAGGGTATATATAAAACTTAGTAGGAATATTCAATTCAAGACCTCTAATAGAATAGAATAGAAGTGTCAGCACTGAAGAAATAGGCCCATGGCCTGTTTTCGATTCTTGTACTTTTCGTAACTTGATTCCAAAAGGGATCCGGACTTTGGAACCAGATCTTTCCATAACTGACGATTGATTGAGATAGCTGCTGCACTTGGTGCAAGGTCCGTAAGGAGCTATGCATTTTAAGACTGAACATATGTTCTTGCATAGAATAGAATAGAATAGAAGTGTCGGCGTTGAAGAAATAGGCCCATGGCCTGTTGCCGATTCTTGAACCTTTCGTGACTTGATTCACAAGGGATCCGGCCTTTGGAACCCGATCTTTCCATAACTGACGATTGATTGAGATAGCTGCTGGACTTATTGCCTGCTTCGTAATAATTCCCAAAGACTTCAATTTACGCAACAACCGCTCATGTGAGACACTGTCAAATGCCTTGGCAAAATCGAGGTACACTGCGTCTACTGGCTCCCTTTCGTCCTACAGGCGGGTCCATTCGTTCAGAGTCGACAAGAGGTTAGTGGTGCAGGATCTCCCAGCAATAAAGCCATGTTGACAGTCTGATAGGAGATTATTAGCAGTCAAATGATCTATCAATCGATCCCTCACAACAGATTCCATTACCTTGCAAACGACACTTGTCAAACTGACAACAGCTTCGTCTAGTGACTCTAGTCTGTTCTTGAAGGCGTTCATACTCGGAGCGTCAATTATGCTATCAGGGAGCCTGATCCACATCATCCAAATGTCGGTGACTCGAAGCGAGAAGAAATGTTATCGCATGGATGTGTTACATCGCAGTTTGTTCAGTTTTAGCCGTGGCCCCTGGTGTTATTTGGCTCTTGTTTCAAATTCTATGACTCCTTCTGTATAGTTTTTCTTTAATTTTATATTGACTGTAGTAATAACAGTACATAGTAATATGGCAAATTAGCTAATCCAACAATTGCAAACCATTGAAGCTCCACAAGAAAGCATTGCATTCTTGACACGTCTCGTACCAGTGAGGGCGTGCACGTCTCAGCTACTTATACGCTTTACAAGTTACCTTTGCATAATGCAGCTAGGGTAGACGTGTTCAGCGCCTCCTGTCAAGTTGATAGATACTTGGTCATCGAGTCTTTTCGAGTGCAATTCACTTTCTGACTGAGATCAGGGTGGTCTAGATTCGGCAACTTCAAGTCTTGACCACAAGTCACAACTATATGAAAAAATCCACTCGGGCACACTGCAATTCTCCGCCGAATTGAATTAATTTCCCGTGCATTATGTTTGGAATCTCAGATTACATGGTAATTTATTTTATTCAATTAGCTAATGTCGTATTATGCAAAAAACTGAAAAGTGGCCTCAAAACTATTGGATTGGTAGAGTGCAGACAGGATTGAGGCATCATTAATGGGAGAACTAACAACTCAGTAACAAGTAACTTAGGACTCGGGCATAGTGGCAAAGTAGAGAGTTTTTTAGACTCTCCCTCAAGTTCATTTTTGAGTCCTAGTTATAGCTATGTAGACCATGGTGGCAGGGAATTATTGTGAGTACTTATGCGTTTGCAAGAGCATCGACCGGTCCGGCTCAGCGGGGGGGGGTAGGAAGGGAATAACGAAAGTCTCATTTACGACTGGACTAACCCATTGAGCAACATTTTCTCAGTTATGGTCTCATAACAACTCAATTTTAAAATATGTACAGTTTCGAAGTTGATATAAGTAAATAAATAAATATTTGAACTGGGAAATTCCTTACTTACTTACGTTGCTTCCAGATTTATATCAATGACGTGAAAAATGACAATGACATCGGTAAAATTGGCCAAGCCATGATGTTAGAACTTCGATGTTCAAATGTTGACACTTCTGTCAAGTGTCAATATCACAATCAAAATTACTTCACAATCAGAAATGTTATAGTATCACAATCGAAAATATTATTCACAAATAACCATCGATTTCAATGCAAAACTGAACTTCCCAGCTTCATAGCTGTCGTGCTGTCAGGCGTCAGCTTTGGTTTGACGCTATATGTTTACATACGTCACAAACGGTGACGTATGTCGTCCCACGGTGACGTCATCATACAAACGAACACGTGGAGACAAAAAAAAAGCAATATTTCGCTGCACCACAAACAAATAAATGTAAATAATTGGTAATATAAAAGTTTTTCTGGAACATTTTGAGAGACTGTGCCTAAGCAGAATACGATATTAATAAATTATTAGTGAAGATAATAACAATAAAGTAGTTCATTTGATGGCCGCTGCTACTTGCTAGCGCTGGCATCTGAATACGGGTACATTCTATTGGTACAACTTCTATGATCAATTTGAATCATAAACATTTACCTAATGCAAGAAATTAGCAATCAATAATTCAACATTGTTTTGTAAGTTTTGTACCAACGGAACTATGGAAAACTACATTAATTACGTATTAGCAACTTAAGCTAAAAAAATGCACTGTAAGGGAGATCAGCTGTTAGAGAAGATGCCAGAAAGCGCGATGGATTCAATTTAGTCGTTTTTAATTTGAAATTGGTGTCAGTTCTGTGCAATAGGATCGTAAATTTCAGTGTAAAACCTATTAAAATTTTACGTTTCTGTGTGGATTTTGATGCTGTTAGCACTGAAATACTTGACAGTATCTCTGGTGCAAGAAATACTGGCTAAATACATTTTAATTTAGAAATTAAGGTCAATCGAAAATTCGAAATGACTGCTGTCAAGGCTATGTTCCTTGTTGCGAACCGATTGTTGCATCCAGTCGCTTATATTGAAAATAAAATGATTTAAGCAAGTATTTCTTGCATCAGAGATAATTCAAAGTTTGCTAATGTTAACAGCATTATAATACATGCAGAAACGTAAATTTTTTTAGAGATATTTAAAATTTAGGCTCTATGACTTGTAAGTTGTATACTATACAGTCGAATGAGTCGATAGGATTTCAAGTGGATGCATTCAAATTCAAATTCGGTCCACCACGCCCCACGGCCAGTGTAGCTGTCAGCTGACTTTCTTCAGAAGTGCAAAAGCTTTTGCCGGTGAAGGTGTTATACGATCGGTCCGTAAAGAAGCGTTGATCGGTTCAAAATGACATAAGAACAGGTTCTTTTGAATAACCTATGGATTGCCACCATGATGTAGACCATTAAAGTATTGTGGATACCACATACCAGCATTATCATATTTAAAAAATTTGTTTAAATCTAGAGTATAGTCAAATGGGGTAAGACAGGATCGCAGCCTTCATGGGATGATGGGGTAAGAAAGGACTGGTCCATGGCATGCATTCTAATTGCACTGAATTTAATATGATGGAAGAATATGTTAGAGCAATCATTGCCTTTCATTTCAGTGTTTGTTTCAACCCTCTTCTGCAAATAATGAATTTTTGGTTAATTTTCAAAGAAAACCTATGTAAAGGGTCGCAAAATAGTTAACTCGACAAGCGGAAGAGTCAGAAGTAACCCGGACATGTCTTACATTTTATTATTGTCTGTTCGACTCACGTAGTTGATATAAACTTTGATCTTTGATGACCAACGAAATCTAACTTTAATAGGGAGACTTCATGTTTATTATACTAACAAGTAATGATCTTTATTTAATTAGAGCCACGTTGAAATGTTTTTGTAAAGCCCGCTTCTAGATCATTAATGTTTTTATATACATCCTTGTATTGTTAGGGACGCTTGCTGCTTCCATCAGATCTTAAAATGTAAAAGTCTAATAGATACAGATTTGCATGAATAATGCCATTCAATATCGTTAGCTACATTAAACTGAGGGTGAAACATGGGAATGGCAATGATTAATTTATCTGAAGCAACCTTTACAAAATTAGCGTCAAACAAGCAAACGGATGTCATGTCAACCACAGCAGAGAGTATTTTATGCAGGTAATGAATTTCGCAAACTTTGCTGGAAGCAAGATTATGGATGAGGTCACCACTGCGGTGCGCACGCTACCTAACAAGCAGTGCGCCAGCGACCTGTTGCCGTCGCATCTACTTTGGGAGAATGTTGCCAGCCTAGCACCTTTCATGGTTGAACTGTTCAACTGCTCCCTTGCTGATGGCATTGTCCCTGAGAATTTCAAATCCGCTTACATCACGCCACTTCTCAAAAAACCGGACCTCGATGCCTCAGACCCAAATTCGTATCGACACATCTCCAACCTGTCGATTTTATTGAAACTTCTCGAGCGCATTGTGGCCCGGCAGCTAAATAACTACCATCATAATTCAGGTCTCATGCCCTGCCTCCAGTCTGCATACCATCATCACCACTCAACGGAGACCGCCACGCTGAAGGTTCATTTGGATATTCTGCAGGCGGTCGACTGCGGCAACATTGCGGCGCTGGCTTTACTCGATCTTTCTGTTGCATTTGACACGGTCGACCACGCCACCTTGTTGCATCGGCTAGACGTATCGTATGGCCTGCGCAATACGGTGCTGTGGGCAATCCTCTTCCTGCTATATAATGCCAACCTGTTGCATATAATTGATTCACACAGCTTGAATCCGCACATGTTTGCCGACAATACCCAAATCTATGGCTACTGTGCATCAGCGGACGCTGCAGCGCTGCAAGACCAGATGTCTGCCTGCATGGACGCCGTTTCAGACTGGATGCATTCCAACTGGCTCCAGCTCAATGCATCAAAAACCGAATTTATTTGGTTCGCAACCGCTTGTCGCCAATATCAGCTTCCAGTCAATCTTGTGCGCGTGGGCGACGAGTTAGTCGCACCTGTAAGCAGCCTCGGCATTCAGCTGGATTCAGAACCATCTATGAACAACCACATTGCCAAAGTAACCACTGCTTGTTTTGGCATCCTGCGGCAAATTCGTAGCGTCAGTCGCTGTCTCTCAAGGCCCTCATGGTGGCGCTAGTGCTGACCAGGCTGGATTATGGCAACGCCATACTCTACAGACTTCCCATCACGGCACTTAACAAACTGCAATTCGTAATGAATGCTGCCGCGCGACTCATTTGTGCCCGGCGTAAATTCGACCACGAAACCAGTTTTGCGTGATCTTCATTGGCTGCGTATCCAGCAGCGCACGCAGTTTAAAGTCGCTGTTCTGACGTTTCACTACCTCCATGGTTTAGCACCACCTTATCTTGCTGATGGCCTACGGTGCGTGTCGGATCTGCCTTCTAGAAGGCGACTGCTTTCCTCGTCAAAGGCTGACCTTGTCATCCCGTCCTCACGTCTGTCCACCGTCGGCGACAGAGCGTTCCTGGTCGCTGCGGCCAGAACATGGAATGGTCTACCAGCATCGGTGACATCTGCTTCTTTGCTGCCGTTGTTTTGTCGACACCTAAAAACAGAATTGACGCCTTTGTATCTTAGGTCTAGCCGTCATCTAATCTATCATGGATATTACTGGTTTAGCATCGGTGTTGTTTGTTCTAGCATAGACGTTGTCAGTCTTGGCATATGTCCTTTGTTTTAGCATAGACGTCATCTGTTTTTATCCTCTCGTGTCTTTTTTAGCCACTTATAACGTGCCCTCAAAGTTCGATCTGAATGAGATGCCACGACAATCTCTTCGTGGAATAATAATGAATTGAATTTTAGAAAAAAGGCGGGATAATTCAATGAAGGGTGGTAGCAGAACTGCAATCATGATCCTCTATGGCGATTCATGCTATAATAACCTATGTAACAATTTTCATATGATAGTTATAATTTTTACACATTCAAAGTACACATGACATAACATAACGCACCCAGATTTGGATACCATGATTGCTCAAATGAAGCAAAAATAAACGACAGACCATTGAATTATCTGGCAAATATATATATACATATTTTGTATCACGTAGTTTAATAACGCTCTGTAATTATGCCGTATTGACCTAATTTGTATAGTCCATTTACGCGCATTGTTATTAGGTAGTGATCGTGTCAATTTTGCCGGCCAGGAGGATGTCGGGAATGTAGTCCCAACATTGGCATGCAGGTTTGTACTGTCGACTCATACCCTACTTGCCGCAACCAGTCCACACTCCAGACTCCAGTCATTCATTAGAAGGCACTGATGGCACATCTAGAGCCATGTTGCCTTCTTTAGTTTTGTAATTTGTGTCCGATTGAATTGTGATCTATGAATGAATATTCATAACTGTGCTGACTCTTAGAACCTGAGTTGACGCGTTAGCAATCTAGTTAACTCATATCCAACCACAACACAATGCGGATACCTACATGTTTGTGTGTACGGTCAGTGCGATTGCATAATTTGCGTTGCCGCGCGTCCATATTTAAACTATTTTAGCTTTCTAAAGTATGGCGCACGGCGCATTTTTTTACCAGCATAGTACGGTGCACCGTGCAGGTCGTTAAAATGACAAAATAAATTCCCGCGCACCTGGCACATCTTCCTGACCATGGCTTTTGAGACATACCAGGCATTTCTACCTGCTACCATCACTGCCTGACATGTATTCTAAAATGGGGTAAAAAAGGACCGGACATGGGGTAAGACGGGACCACTAAATGATCCTGTTTTACCCCACAAGCGGTCCTATCTTACCCCACAAATGGTCCTGTCTTACCCCACAAATGGTCCTCTTTTACCCCTTAGTTTATCAAAAATAGCTTTTAAATTAATATATTATTGTGCATAAGTATACCATGGTACATGGAGTATTTTGGTCAAAATTTTCATCTTTTGCTTAAAATAACCTTTCTAACTTGTTAGCTTTTTTAATTAGATAAATTTAGCATACTGTTGTGAATTGCATCATGGGGATGGAGAAAATAGGGATATCTCTTCCCATTAGTGAGCTGCAGAACAATATGCAAGAGTGGTTGGGGGAAAAATCATTGTGTGAAACATAAAAAATAATTATTATCACAATTTTGTGAGAGGGCATGAGCTATGTTTGAAGAAGTGCACCACAAATGCAGTTAGCAAGAAAACACATGACATCTGACACTTAAGTTATTATCCATTGGTTTTATTACCAATTTGATAAATTTTCAGGCAATGACACTAATGGAATATACAGGGTGTTTCAGAATTAAGTAACCCTTTTAATTTGTTAATAAATAAAAAACTAAGAACGTTATGAAGTTGAAACTTATTTTATTTAAAAGAAGAACATTTTTATGGTAATATTGTATCCTAGTTTTTAAATATAATATCTTTTAAATGCCCACCACAATTGTTTTGACAAAATCAAGTGTGACGGTAGCGTCACATGTTGTGAACTCGTTCGAACGACGTTCGATGGAGTAGGCGCGCCGCTACTGCCAGTACAACACAAAGACTGCGCGTGATCTGAAAAGTAATTCAGATTGTTTTTTCCCTTTTGAAACATAATTCAGTCATTCAGTGCGTAAAGGGCTAGTTACTCGTTAGCCTTCAACTGGTCAAGATCGCTGCCACATCTACTGCTCACTTTTATCAAACTACATAATTTTCCTTTCCTTTGCTATTTTGGAGGATTCATTATAATTATTCCCATATATTCATTAGTTTGATTAGCGCGGTTTTGCTTAACACGGTAAAACTCGGGGATTTATTAACCGCGTTAATCAAGGGATTGCTGTAGCGATAATTTTTGTTCTTTCTTCTTTGCTGTAGCGAATCATGATGAAAATTTAAGGCTTGATAATTAAACACAAATTTAGCAAGCTATACAGGATAACGACGCAACAATGATACAATATTACCATGAAAATGTTCTTCTTTTAAATAAAACAAGTTTCAACTTCATAACGTTCTTAGTTTTTTATTTATTAACAAATTAAAAGGGTTACTTAATTCTGAAACACCCTGTACATGTAGCATTTGGCACTGCTCTACAATGAATCAAAGCCAACCTAATATTTCTCTGCTCAACAAAGTTTTCTCATGACAAAAACTCCAATGTGACATTGGAGTTGACTTCCCGCAACACAAAACAGTAACAAGTTGCTGTTTGATCAAATAATGTGTTTCTAGATGGATAATATTGAATATCAGATTTATATTTTTACTAAAAACCTTGTAACATAAGAATTACCTGTTGGTCCTTTCTTACCCCAGCCTGGTCTCATCTTACCCCAATGGGGTAAGATGGGACCAGCTCACTTTTTTTAATCTGTACAGAAAACTATGTTAGATGCAAAGTGTCTGAGATGTAGCTTAGAAGCCCATTGCATAACTACACCTTTTGATAGGTTTAGGGTTTTTTAGTTATTCATGGTATAGATGCTACATGCCTGTTAGTGATTTTGGTCCTGTCTTACCCCATCTGACTATAAATGAGGAAATTAAAAATGAACTGATTCTAAAAAAACTCTTGTTTGCCACTATGCTTAGAAGAAACCAACCATCTCTTCTGCTACAAGAAAATATTTACAAGTCATTAATGACATGATATCACAAAATAAATTCTTTCACATCTATGATTGAAGTCTGGCCTTGGCCTGACGTAAGACATTCATGGTTATGACAGTATGACTTCAGGTAAAGGTGGTGTCTACCCTAAAGTTTTTGGATTTGGCTTTTCCGGTTTTTAGTCTCCTCTTAAAGCTGACATTCTGCCTTGTCCAGTGGTACCATTACCATCTCTGTACGTTGATTTATGGGTTCACCACAGTTCATGAAAGGCAGGGAGGTAGGGGAATTCTTTAACAAATAGAATAGTAGGAAATTTGCTGCAAGCACTTTAAATAGATTGTCTGCTTGAGGTGCACCTTAGTTACCTGCCTGGCGACTGGCGTTGTATGAGGAGGTGTGCATGCAGTCACTCCCACCATCCTTGACTGGAATCAAGCTCCAATAACATTTAGTTTGGTATCCTTGCTACATTGAGTGCCTATTGTGATGCATGCGGGACTTTGTCGCACTCTCCTGAACATTCACACTTATTGTCATGGCAAACCTATCTCCTCCTAGAGTTTTGAAGCTACAGCAATGAGACATATACCATTCAATTTGTAAAGACCATACGGTTCATACCTATTGAGTAACAAAGCCCTTTTTTTTAGATTTGTGCATAGTTTGGATTCAAAATGGAGGGAGGGGGGAAAATCTGAAGAAAATGAGAAGAAAACAGGAAAATGTGTGTAAAAAAAATGGCAAAAATAAAAAATCGGGCTTTGTTACTCGATTGGTATGGTCTTTACAAATCGAATGGCATATCTTTCAATGCTGTAGTTTGAAAACTGTAGCAGGAGATAGATTTTTAAAGTATATTATACCTCATTTTTTTGTCTGTTTTCTATGAATTTAATTTTTCTATTAATTTTTCCAAGAAAATCATACAAACAAAATCTGCTTGTATTTTGGTTTTACATATACGTGTGAAGTTTCAGAAAGATCCATTAGTAAATGTGGAAGTTTTTCTGGAGGGTAGACACCCCCCTTAAGGGGACCGACCTAGCATACGGAAAACTTCTACAGTTATTATCCGATTGTCATGAAACTTCACATACATACGTAAAATGTAAAAAAAAAACATTTTGCTAATATGAATTTTTCGAAAAAATTGATAGAAAACGTGAAATTCATAGAAAACGGCTAAAAAGGGGTACTTTATTTATATCTAATTTCTTAAAGAACTCTCCCACCCGCTTCCCTTTAAAGAGACGTCATTAACGTAAATATTGGCGTACAGCGATGGCAGTGGTACCATTGGAAAGAGCAGAATTCCAGCTTCCAGATGAGCACAAAAACCGAAAAACGTCAAAATTGAAAATTTTAGCTAGGTCGGTCCCCTTAAGGCTACCTCAACAAGGTTAGATTAAGTACCGTAAAAGGCGTGAATGTACCAATCCACCATAATTGAGAATTGAGATATATTTATTGTATTACTTTTATATATACATAAGCTCATATATTATCAGTTTTTTGATACAAGTATTGGTTTACAATATTGAACTGGATAATCAAGTTCTGTATTGTTTTAGCAATTCCTGTGAAAAAGATTGTCACTCAGATTATTTTATCATATTATGATTTCTTATTGTTAATTCAAGATGGTTATCACAACACAACATTGACAGTTGACACAAATTGCAAAAAAAAAAAAGATGAAAATGCTACAACATCAAGGTTTCCAAGCAAAGTTAAGCACAGAATTCTAGTTTGAGAGTCAGAATGTAAACATTGTGTTTATAATGTGTTACAAGTAACAAGTGTTAATAGTAGTTATGAAGCAGATGATAGTTGAAGCAGATTTTTAGGTTTGTCAGGAGCAGCAATACTGCCAAATGCAAATGAACAGCAGACATGTATGCATGATCACAATGTATACTAGGTGTATACCAGTGCAAGGGCTGAAGGCCCTTTAAATGCTGGATTAATCCATGCACCATGCTGATGGTGGATTCCACTCTCCCACGGTAAATCTTGAGAAAATTAAAAATGAACTGATTCTAAAAATCACTGGTTTGCCACTGTGCTCCCACCCCAAACTTACATGCACAAAATGTTTTCATAAAACGTCTCACAGTTGCAGTCATGTCAGACAGTCAGTTTTTTTTAATCTCTCATTTGCCTCTATGGACTGATGTGATGGAAACTAGAGATCATCAACAAAGCATTTTAGGGGCAGTCACAGACTCACAGTGAAGAATACTCTTGCAAGAATCTGATTCTGCACTGCAGAACTTTAAATTTTCATAGAATGACATTTATTTCCCACCAAATTTATGTGAAACCATTACACATATATAACAAAATTAAAAATGCATTATAATGTGCTAAATTCAAAGTCCTCCCTGACTCTAGTTTGCGAGTACAGTTGCACTCAATTTACTTACTTTCTTGGATTATCAAACTGCTCTTTGGGTTCAACTACAAACATTTTCTGGTATAAAGATGCAACATGTGAATTATTTATGCAATATTTTTGTTTATGAATTTCTTGCAAATTTGCAATGAAAGTGATCAAGTTGTCATAGATCTTTCACAGATGTAGCAGCTGCTCCAATGTTATTAGCCTCATTTAAACTAACTTACTAATCTCTTTCCCTGAATTTGTGCTTTTATTTTTTATAATATGAATGAAAGTGTGAATTATTTCCATCTTCATCAGCTTTTCAGTAATTTACCTCATGTTTGCTGATATTATGAGTAAATAAGGAAAATTTGTTCTTCAAGTAATCACAGTAAATGTGGCACAAAAATGTTGCAATTGAGATTTGATTTTTCCATTCATTATACATAGTTTTGTATAATTTTTAAGAGAATTTAATTATTATATTTATTATGCAGATTCCTTTAGTGTATAAGCTCAATTTAAAAAACAAAATTTGACAATTTCTTGTATTGCAGGACTATGAGGGGCAGCGGCTAGCTGAAAGAATATTCCAGGCCATCATTGTTATATTTGGGGTGAGTGTACTTCCTTAATGTGCAGATGGTATCTGAAAGTATTTTGTAAAGATTTTATGATTTTATACTTTAACTTAGACCATTTTAGCCACTCTAGTCAACAGTTTTAAGGATTTAAATGGCATTGACAATGTTTTGTATATTTGAATGAAGGGTTCAAGGTTCAATGATAATTCATTTATAACTAACAACATCAGGTTTTGTAAGAAATGGGGAGTATTTAATTAAGCTTGCCACAACAACTCAGATTTTATCACAGTTTACATTAGTATTGCAGTGAATTAGTGATGGAGCAAAATGATTTCATGCTAACACTAAAAAAATTTGGAAATGCTTGTACATAACAGATGAGTATCAACTGTTATTGTGCTGAAATTTATTGAGGTACATTATGGATGCAAAGCTGCTGAATATCTTCTGAATAGGTTTTCAAATTTTTCTGATTATTTACAGCCTAAGAGTTCAGTTCTTTATTGCAGATATCAATTGCCATCAGAAGTGCATGATAATTGTCATCAATTTCTATTGCAGTGGATCTGCTGTAGTATTGATTACATTATTTCTTTATTCATAATTCATCCCTGGTCATATGATGACAAGTAACTAGGATGAGTTTGTTCATTATGATGATTTAGTTGATCTAAATATTTACACTATTTTTGAATTCCATTTTTAATTGATTTTAGTGTGCTAAAAATGAATGTTATCACAAACTAGCTAGCCGAAGTCATTCAATTGACTCCAGCTATTCATTTTTGAATAAGGTATGATAACAGTAATGCTTGTTTCCATTAGTGCCCAGTAATGTCCGCAGCATGAATCCTTTTTGGCGGTTATGGATCTATGATAGCATATTTAATAAATGCTTTTTAACTGCAGGCTGTGGGCTGGCTCTATGGCTACCACGTTCAGGATTTCAAGATGACAGTGATGGCCTTGGGTGCTGGATTTGCTCTAGCATTTTTGGTGAGGTCTAAAGCTCAATTGTTTATCATTTGATATTTTCAGTAAAGATGATGACCAGTTGCTGAGAATTTGACTCAAAGCTTGCAGATACTATGTGTTATGAACACATATTTTTTAAGTAAATTTGAATACTACTAGGATTTGTGTTCCTAGAATTTTTTTTTTATTTGTCATAAATTTCAATTCTGCTGTTGAATTTTTATGTTCAAAAATAGATTGCCTAGTTCATATGTGAGCTTAGAAGGTTAAATTTCTAAACTTGTCACTCAAATCAATGCATTGATAAGCAGCATGAGTTATATTTGCTAGCAAGCAAAAATGAACCTCTTTGGGGGAATTTTCATTCAATAAATAATTAACTTCTCCTTATTACAATAGGTAATGTTAAAAAATGATAAGGATGTAATCAATTTATTAGTCGTATATTCATCGTATATGAACTTTATTATAATATTTTTCTGAAATTTTGTGTTAAGATGTGTTATTATATGAGCTCATTACAGGTTACCATCCCACCGTGGCCGCTGTACCGTCGCGCTCCTCTTAAATGGGCGCCTGCCGTGGCTTCAGAGGACAAGAAGAAGAAGAAGTAGTGATGAGTGATGGTCTGATAGCACATGAAGTGATGATTGTTGGTCTGGTGGTGCATGAAGTGATGAGTGTTAGTCTGATGGTGCTTAAAGTGATGAGTGTTGGTCTGATGGTGCATGAAGTGATGAGTGTTGATAGTATGTTGGCAGATGACGAATTAATGTGTGTTGCATGTCCTGGATTGTGTTGGGCGGGCAGTAGAGTGAGGAATTGATGCCTTGTGGACCTCACGCCGGCAGGCAGAGCGTGACGACGCTTTCTTCATGCGTTCTAAAACAGAAAGGCTGAATTGCACGTGTTGCGTTGCGTGTTCATCTTTCATTTTCATGCCTGAGCCTGTTCTTGTTATTGGTTTATATATAGCACGTTTGGTTATATACATTATTAGATATCTGGCTGTTTTTGCAATTCAAAATAACCGCCCTCGTTTTTGTGTCTGAGAATAACGATGTTTTAGCACATCTCAATTTGTTCCTTAGTTGGGAGAATTGACCATTCGATCTGCGTATCTTGTTCATTTTTTACATACACTGTTTGACGAGAAATTGTTTTAGTCCTATTTAATTGTAAAAGGATAGAATGTGGAGGAATTTCTTTAAATGGAGCACGATGCTAATGTACGGTGCTTGCAGATTGCCACCAAATTCAATGGTAAATTACAAGTATATACTGAGTTGATTTTTAACGTTGTTAAATGATTTTATTTTTTGTTAATTGAAGTACAATGAATCAGAGTGCATTAGTTGTGACTCATTATCTTGTTCAACTCTCAAGTTTCATTGTGGATTATCTACAGAAGCTTCAAATTCACGTTTTCCACAGCTTGTTTCATTTTCATGCCGTAAGAGGGAAGACCTGCCGGCAAGGCAACTGTGACGTCACCGTCACGGCAGAATGCCATAGCTTGCTATTTTGTAAGATGTTTAGTACATTTCGCAGAAGGGGATGAAATGATAACGCATAAAGCTACATGTTGAGAATTTGGAACATGTACACTTACCGCTGGAAAATAGGAAGCTCGAAGCGTTACCTTAATTTGGGAATAGAAAATGAAAATAATAGGCTTGCGCAGTCAAATTTTGAAAATAGAGCGTTGTACTTGTACACGTTCTGTCACTAGAATAAATACTGAATCAAATATACTTAGTGGCAACTGTTTATAACAGTGTTTCCAAAAGCGGGCGATATCGCCCCCTAGGGGCAATGGAAAGATTTGGGGGGGCNGGGCGGCGGTAAGGAAGAAGAGGGCGGTAGTCCGAAGTCAATGTCAGAAGTTCGAACTTTTGTCTGACGATTTCTACACAACACGTGCAGCACATGACTCCCATCGATGGTTTTTTTTAACCTCTCCTAGGTTTACGTCTCGGACAAATTAACGGCCGGTCTCACGGCAAATTTCCAAATTCAATGATTCAATGATATCTCTCAAACTTATGAACTTAACTCGATGAAACTTGGTACACATATTCATTAGGACCTAACGATAATGTTTTGATCGTGAAAATTGTTTGAATCTTGCCATCGTTTGTTTTTGCCATACTTATATGGCAATACGGGCCGAAATTCACAGTGATCAAGTAATTTCTTCCAAACTACTAAACAGATTCGAACGAAATTTCGAATTTACAGTCCTAACTACCGAACGGTAATGTTTAGCTCGTGAAAAATTGTTCGATTGTGCCTTCGCTCGCGAGTTTTTTTCATTTCACCTTCATTCGTGATTTAAACAGCAATGCGTGCTTAAATTCGCAGTATCCAAGAAATTTTTTTCCAAACTACTGAACAGGTTTGAACGAAACTTAATATTTAAATGGTTAACCTCAGCATTGGTGATGCTTACAATTTTTTCGTTCTGCCTTCGTTTGCGAGTTATACGGCTATACGTATACGGTTTTTGGATTAAACCGGCCAGTAGAAAAGCCGGTCGTTTATCCTATACCTGTATAACTCGCGAACGAAAGCAAAATAGAAAAATTGTCATGAGCTAAACATAACCATTGAGAGGTTAGGTATTTATATCCAAGTTTCGTTGAAATCTGTTCTGTAATTTAGAATAAATTTATTGATCGACGCGAATTTAAGTGACAAATTACCCAGCGATAGGTGCCGAATATAAGGAAGTATGAAACTCGCAAACGAAGGTAAAATCGAAAAAAATTTATAAGCTTAAAAATCACCGTTTGGTAGTTAGGAATGTATATTCAAAATTTCTTTCAAATCTGTTCGATAGCTTGGAAGAAATTTTTGATCACTGCGAATTTCGGCCTGTTTCGTAATATACGCGTAACTCACGAATGAAGGTGAAATAAAAAAAAATTACAAGCTAAACATCACCTTTAGGTTTTGATGAATACGCGTTCCAAGTTTCATAGATCTGCGTTCATTAGTTTGGGAGATATAACTTGATAATTGAATTTTGAGATTGGTCGTGAGACCGGCCACGAGTCCGGTCGTAAATTCGCCCGCGACGTCCCAGGTTTCTAGTGCTGAAAGTTTAAAGAGCTGAAAAACATATTGGTTCACCAAATGGGTTCTATTTGTGAAATACACATTTGTGTTTAACCTTTATCTTTTAAAATTGCAGCGTACAAAATTTCAAGAGAGAGGCGTATGTCTGTGGGGGGCGCTAAAAATTCACTAGGGAGCCAAAGGGGGCGCCAGCCTGAAAAAGTTTGGGAACCACTGGTTTATAACGAAAAGGTAGACAAATATTACACCAGAATTCCTCACGTGAACAATTTTTCCGTACCTTTTCTGACACGAACTTCGCACACCATTAAGCTTCATGGGTGAGGGAGCGTTCAATGGACAACGTGCGCCCTGCCTGAAAATTTATTAACATCTGCGGCACAGAAGGAACACGCTTGATAACAAATCAGGGATGGCGAAATATGAGTCTCGGGGATGACATATCCCTAGTCCTTCAAAAGTTTCTGTGTCACCCATATGAGTCTCAGAGATGACATACCAGACAAATGAAACTCTGGTGATGATTAGTTATATGAGGAGTTACCTCGTCAAAATGACTGCATATGAAATAGCTATGCAGGGATGGTATCACAAACACGGTGTAAGGAGGATTAAGAAGGATGCAAGAAAGTAAAGCCGGTATCCCGTTTCCCAAGCTGGGCAGCGCTACTTTGAAATGTAGCGGCCGCTACCGCTTCATGCTCTAAATGTAGCGGGCGCTACCGCTACCGCTACAATTGCTTAAATGTAGCGCCGCTACTTCTACTGAAAATGTAGAGGCCGCTACATGTAGCGCGCTACTGCCCACCTCTGGTGGCTGACGTGATTAGGAGACCTAGGGCTGGTGACGGCCGAACTTGCACGCGAGCCCAGATTTTACCAAGACCTGCTGGTCTCAGGGAAGTATGACTTCGCAACCCTGTGATGCAAAGCCTCAATGCCTGTTCTGTGCTGATAGCGCTCAACATTTAGTCAACAATTTCGCCCATCAGTTGGTTCACCCCATGAGTACAGTCTTTCGAAATTTCGAATTGGTTAATAGTGTCATTAACACCGCATGCTCTAGAAAATCTTACACTACAAATACTATGATAACTAGGTGCCTAAATGTTTTACCATTGCACGATTTTTCAACGGCACAGAATGCCAGTCTCTCTCGCACGCCCCACGTTACACCAGTTTTCTTCTCATCCTCATCACTCCTAAAACTTTATGCCTTTCCAGTCTCATTGCACACATTTGTACGTCTTTTCACAACCAGCGCTTGAACAAACCGTAATTCCCCATCTCTACTTCCATCATAAATACGAGTCTTCAAATTATTTTTTTTTTGTTTTATATCTTCAGTTAAAATGTCGCATATTCATACTGTGGTATATTCTTACGTAGAAGACAGGCATCCAAAGAACACTTTAATACTGAATAGAGGCCTTTTTTGTTAGACATACAAAAATTTAAATTTCCCAATGTTTCAATAGGGTTCGTCTGCTTTTTTGTTACAAAGATGTAGAGTTCTCATTAGAGGGCCGCCAGTCTCGAGTCATTACCAGCGAACGATTAGCCGCAAGTCGCTGACCGTTCATTATTTTATGTTCAACATTTTTCATTCAAATCCTGCATGCACGCAGAGCTCCGGTGCTGGATACTTAATTCTTACCTGGTGATAAACTTGATAATCATTTAAGGTCACGATATATTTATCAAAATGGGTTTATTATTCCTATTATAGTTAGTTTATTGGTAGTTTATTCACCTATGGTAGTTTATTCATTCCTATTATTTAAATTGTTTACACTAGAATAAGTTCAATATACGGTGCAATATTATAGAGCTTTTTTACACTTTTTTAAGATGCTTCCAAAATATTGCAAATTTTTCAAATACTTAATTTTACTCCGAAGTAACATAAGAAATACTATACTAAGTATAAACTTTCAGCATATTTTCATCGTACCTTGACAACCATGTGGCAGGATAATGCTCAGGTATAAACATGACATGTGCTGTTAAAATACTTTCGCTTGAACTTCGCTAGCATGTTGTAATATAATAATTAAGTATACAATGAAAGTACAACCATGACCCGTGGCTAGGTAGAAGACTTCTCAGCTGCTACTTCAGAAGCATGTGACAGCATGTGCCTCAAGTACCAACATGCCACGGTCATGCGACCATGTAGACTTCTTCTCCAGGACGATGTCAGTAAAAGATGGCACCGAAGGGAAGACTAGCTAAGATTCCTCCGGAAAAGGAGGAACTAGTAGGGTAGACTTCTATAGATATTTCTATTTATGAAATATACCATGTAGACTACTGTTTTCACAACATTATGTCAGCAAAAGACGGCACTGAAGGTAAGACTACTAGAAAAGTCTACTTTGTAGACTTCTTCTCCAGGATGATGTCAGCAAAAGACGACACTGAAGGTAAGACTACTAGAAAAGTCTACTTCGTAGACTTCTCCAGGACGATGTCAGCAAAAGACGACACTGAAGGTAAGACTACTAGAAAAGTCTACTTCGTAGACTTTTCCAGGACGATGTCAGCAAAACACGACACAGTCGGGAAGTGTTCGCCGTCGCTGAGCTCGACAGGAGCGTTGTCAGGTCTACTGGCTAACGCCACACGCATACCCGCAGCCAGTACAGCGCGAGCTTCTGAAATTCAATAATTTTTCATCATATATTTATAGTAAATTATAATATATAAGGTAATTATATTTCTTCTCGATATAATTCACGCAAGACGTGATATAATAATAAACTCTGACGTCAATACATTCAGTGACAATGACATTTTCGGAATACTATCATTATATTTTTACTCAAATGATTCACACGAGACACGAAATGATTTAAAATGGATTTACAGAAGAACTGAAATTATTATCATCCTATTATCACACATGGAGTGACATTGAGCACTTCAGAATACTTATATTTTTTTGTCCCAACGGTTCACACACGAAAACATTCAATGTTAAACCCAATTCTCCTGTAGAAAAAAAATTATTATCATGATGGTAACACGAGGGGGCTTCAAAAAGTTCTTGGAGCAGCAAAAATTTGAAAAAAAATTAGATCAGTACTCACTGCAGTTAGTGACAGAGAGCGCATTTCAAGCAGTTCAGTGAAGTCACGGACGGACGGACATGACGAGCACAATAGCGCCTTTTTACCATAAATGAGAAAATGCGCTAAAAACGGTCAAAGGTGTAAGGTTTATTATTCAATATATGTTCATCTAGGCCAATACATTTCTGTAAACGCTTATACTAGACTTTAAGTCCACCTGTGTAAAACTGAGAGCAATGCGATTTGAAGCACGTTATGGCAGCTCTTTATACTGCTTCAACTGATGGCAACAGGTAACTTTCAATGACTTTTTCAGGTTTGCAGATGAAAATAAGTCAATGGGTCTAAGAGATGGAAGTCTAATGATTTCTCATCAAAATTCGCGTGGCTCAGCTCTGTCTGCAGAGCATCATGCGCGGTTGCATTGTGGTGGTGTAAGAAGGCGCGCCGATGCAGCTTCACAGGACGTTTTTCTGCGAGATTCTTGGACAATTTTATCAAAATTTCTTCAAAAACAAGAGCTGCAATGGTTTTCTTGTTCTCGGGGAATCAACAAATGCGATCTAATCTTCATCCCAGAAGATAGTGGCCATATTATTATTATAACGCTCAGATTTTCCTTTAACTAACCCACTTTCACCCTTGGACAGCCACTGTTTCGATTGAGTTTTGTCCACGGGATTGTACTGGTAGTGTACTGGTAGAGTGAACTGGTAGAGTGAACTGGTAGAGTGTACTGGTAGAGTGTACTGGTAGATTTTACTGGAAGAATGTACTGGTAGTGGTAGATTGCACTGGTAGATAGCACAATTTCATCCCCGGTCACGACTCGCAGCAGAAATTTTGTAGTGTTCTCATAACACTTGTTCAAAATTTCAAAATAAAGATCTGCTCCCAGATTCCTGCTGATCTGCCTCGAAGCCATCGAGCGAATTTGCTCAGTACCCAAACTGCCCAGCAGAATTGTGCGTGCGGAACCCACGGAGATGTTGAGAGTATCTGCTACCGATACGTTGGTTATTCGCCTATCTTATTCAATGAGATCACGAACATCATCAATGTTTTCCCCACAAAATGATGTGCTTGGCCTGCCTCCGCAGGGTTTATCTTTGGTCTCATTCCGCTTCTGGGGCGACTAATCCATTTTTAGGCAGCTGATTTTATTGGGGCATTATCACCAGAAATTTGTCCCAAAGAGTCAACGGTTTGGGGATGTTCTTTCACCGAAACTTCATCATGAAATTTTTGTTTGACCGGGCCTTGATTTTGGCAGATGCCATGTTGTTTAAACGCTGTTGCATTGAAAAAAGCACCCCGCGCTTGTAACATTCATTCAAAAGTTCAAGTGAGAACACGCTATAAAAAAATTGATATAGGATCGTTATGGTGCATTGATATCACATATTTTTTCATTTAATTTTAAGTTATGTAAATTTTTCACGAAATTTTTGAAGCCCCCTTGTATTTATTTAAACATTTATCCAATACTCTGATGCAAACAGTTCATTGTCATTAGAAGTGAACTATCAAATCTTGCATTCCATTTATAAGAACATCTTTCACGCTGAATTATTTAAAACTCAAACCGCAAAATCAAGGTAAATCATTAAATTTACAGCAATTGATATTAACAAAAGTTATAAATTATACTATCGAATAAAATCGAACCTGAATATTCACATGCACCAAAATTTAAATCTTCACTAGCGCCATAATAGATTTATTTTCATGCACTTGAATCAAAATGCTTACTAGGCCTAAATTTAAATCTTCACATGCACCTATTATTAAATAAATGATCTGAGAATAACAAGCAATATTAATTAATAATTGTGAGGAATGATCCATGTCGCTACTCTCACCTGCCTATTAATAAATAATTGATCTGAGAATATTAAACAACTCATCACCTAATAATTGTGAGGAATGATCACTAGCGCTTAAATTGAATTCTTTTCATGCACCTAAATCGAAGTGTTTACTTGGCCTAAATTTAAATCTTCACATATACCTATTATTAAATAAGTGATCTGAGAATATTTAATTAATAATTGTAAGGAATGATCCATGCCATTACCCTGACCTGCCACGATGTCGGCGAGGAAGAGGATCTTGTCGGCTGGAGTCGAGATCAACGCGGCGATTTTGACGTAACTTTCGGATGCCGTCTTGGGGCCCACGGCTGTGTCGAAGTGACCGTTCAGGAACTGTATATATTGTAATAATTTGATTAGTAATATAATAATAATATCAGTAGAACATCCTGAGTCCAGAATCTAACATCACTGACCAAATCAAAAGAAAGAACTACCACAACCTCCAGTGCTATCAAAAGATAATCAAGCAAAAAGATTGATAAAAATAAAATATGTGAAAATTTTTACTTTATGATAAAATTTTGGACGGGGTAGCGGGACAATCTCGAGTAAAACGCTGCATAAACTGCCTAACTGTCGTAGTCTTATGGAAGTAATACTTGAGAGGTAGTAAGAGTAATACTTGAGAGGTAGTAAGATTAATACTTGAGAGGTAGTAAGAGTAATACTTGAGAGGTAGTAAGAGTAATACTTGAGAGGTAGTAAGAGTAATACTTGAGAGGTAGTAAGATTAATACTTGAGAGATAGTAAGAGTAATACTTGAGAGGTAGTAAGATTAATACTTGAGAGGTAGTACGAGTAATACATGAGAGGTAGTAAGATTAATACATGAGAGGTAGTACGAGTAATACTTGAGAAGTAGTACGAGTAATACTTGAGAGGAAGTAAGAGTAATACTTGAGAGGTAGTAAGATTAATACTTGAGAGGTAGTAAGATAAATACTTGAGAGGTAGTAAGATTAATACTTGATAGGTAGTACGAGTAATACTTGAGAGGTAGTAAGATTAATACATGAGAGGTAGTACGAGTAAAACTTGAGAGGTAGTAACAGTAATACTTGAGAGGTTGTAGTAAGAGTAATACTTGAGAGGTAGTAAGATTAATACTTGAGAAGTAGTACGAGTAATACTTGAGAGGTAGTAAGAATAATACTTGAGAGGTAGTAAGAGTAATACTTGAGAGGTACCGGGTAGTAAGATTAATACTTGAGAGGTAGGAAGAGTAATACTTGAGAGGTAGTAAGATTAGTAAGAGTAATACTTGAGAGGCAGTAAGAGTAATACTTGAGAGATAGTAAGAGTAATACTTGAGAGGTAGTAAGAGTAATACTTGAGAGATAGTAAGAGTAATACTTGAGAGGTAGTACGAGTAATACTTAGTAAGTAGTAAGAGTACACCACAAGTTACGTCTATGCACTAGCTAAAGTACTACCGGGGTGAGTTCACCGTAATCGGTATGTGCGAATAGTAGTTTTTGTGCCGCCACGCTGTACTTAGATGCTGTTGCTGTTAATAGATGTAAACTTGTACTCCAGTATCCTCCCTCCACTGCTTCAGGCATGTCGGCATATGTCCGCGTATACGCTGAGGAGAAAGTGCTTATAGAAAACCGCACGAATATTATTTATGATCTTATTAGCGCATTTTCTCATTTATGGAAAAAAGGCGCTATTGTGCTCGCCATGTCCGTCCGTCCGTCTGTCTTTCTGTCTGTCTGTCCGTGACTTCACGTTTTCGTCGACGAGAAAATGCGTTCTCTGTCACTCACTGCAGTGAGTACTGAGTTATATTTTATTTAGTATACATACCTGGCTACTTTTGTTAACGTTGCAAAATACAAAGCTTAGTCATCATTCATGAATTTTATGATAACCTATCTCTCTCTTCTATTCACTTATCGAACATTATATATTAACCACAATATGGTTAAACCTTTGTCTACAGATACATTAACTGCTATCAATACCATTCGTATCTCAAGGCCTGATAACGAATGTTACCCTAATTACTCTAAAGGTTAAAAGAACAACTATGTCACTATTAAATTGTCATGCATGTAAAATGGAACTTTTCTGAGAAACAATAAGTTTGGACGGACGACTAAAATCTGTTTCTATAACTCAGAAGAAATATCTCAGGAACATGGTAATTCTTGCCAGCATTACAATAGGAATTCTACTACTTAAACCCTCTACCACCAGGCATGAGTAACCGGAGCAATATTGTCACAAGCCTACTTCCCAAAAAGGATACGTTCTAGTGAGCGCAAAATGACTTGCACTGATGGTTGCCGCCACGTACGACAACTTTAAAATGTTCTCTGTTGCGTACAAACATCCTCAGGCTGCTACACTTTATATGGTAGTTTACATATAATTTAAGTTGATAGTTATGTTCCCGGAGAATGACATGTGGCGGTAGGGGGTTAAGATCTTAACAGCTGATCGCTAAGCATCCGAATTTGAAGTGGCAAAATTTTAACAGAACACGAACATTTTCAAGCAAGAGGATTTGCGGCAAGATTGCACTCACAGTCCTTAGTGTTAGAATGTTAAGTGCAAGATTCTAAATCAAACGCCTGGTTGAAATCAAAATTACACATAATTATTGAATTAAACGTTTTTCCACCATATTTTGACCTCTCCTTGTAAAGCTCGAATGAAGGTTTTTATACATCACATATAGGTTTCAAAACGGTTAATATTCGTTCAATATTTTTGGTCATGTTACTATGAACACCTTTAGTAGCTTCCCATGATCATTTGTTTTCGATGTCCTAGATACCATTTTTTTATTGAGGAATATTTTAAAATTGCGGCATTTAAATTTGACGAAATATTAAATTATTTGTAACTCCGTGAAGAACTGAGGCTGCGACGAGAGCCAAAATCTGATTTTAAATTTCAAATAACTCACTGTCCCTTGAGTCGCCCATCTTCGTATCCTTTCTTCCATATTTTTCCCTGCAAGTTCTTCAGACATGGCACCTTCCTGTCCTGAGCAATCATATCCTGCACCAGCTTCACCACTCGATCAATCACGCAATCCTGGTCGTTGTTTTCTACACCAGCAAGATTCTCCCCACTATCTTCTGCCGAATGTTGGAATAATGTTAAATTGAGAATATGCAATTAAATAGTGATTATAATTAAATAAGGTTCATATTCAGGTATGAATATACCTAGATCATACAGTTACGTCCAGATCACACAGTAAAATACATATCATACTTGCTGCAATAATTCATAAGAATTTAACACAAATAGTAATGCACTTTGTAAGCAATAATGACTCGTAAAAAATACATGTGAATTTTCAACCCAACACTATATCATTGGAGAATACACTTCAACTACTTGAAGATCTCAGCGAGATGTTATCGGGATCATTATTTGGCTAAAAATCGGAATATCAATGAATCGTTAGAATTGATATAACCGTCTAAATTTTAAATCAGGAACTCTTTGTAACCTCAAAACCCAAATAAGGAACCAAGATGTTAAAAAGTTAAAGTATATTTCAAAAGAATTTATAAATATAAGCTGTAAGTGAAATCATGACTTGTATACAGTATAAAATCCCTCGCCTATCGCGAATGTTACAGACCACGGCCGCAATAGGTGAAATTCGTGGTAGGGAATTGGTCGCCTTATAGTACTTGCATCAACCTAACCTGCAACAGCATCAACCTAACCTGCAACAGCATCAACCTAACCTGCAACAGCATCAACCTAACCTGCAACAGCATTAACCGAACCTGCAACAGCATTAACCTAACCTGCAACAGCATTAACCTAACGTGCAACAGCATTAACCTAACCTGCAACAGCATTAACCTAACCTGCAACAGCATTAACCGAACCTGCAACAGCATTAACCTAACCTGCAACAGCATTAACCTAAGCTGCAACAGCATTAACCTAAGCTGCAACAGCATTAACCTAACGTGCAACAGCATCAACCTAACCTGCAACAGCATTAACCTAACCTGCAACAGCATCAACCTAACCTGCAACAGCATCAACCTGTCCTAACCTGTCGCAGCACTGCGTTTGCATCGTCTCTTGTCTCCCGGCTTTGCCAGTTGTCCTCCAGGGTGGCGTCGCACATGCGATGCCGCGAAAGGGAACAATTCGTCCTGCAAGAAGAAAGATTATACCACACATGTTCTCGCATCGCTTTAGAATTTAGTTTAGTCCTTAAGTAAGCTTTACACCTTTATAAGCTCGCTTAACGCGAAATAACGCCAGATGCCAGTTGACCAATTTACTCAACGATAAACTACATCTCGGTATCCATACGGACCATACCTCGATTGAAAACTTCAAGTTCATGTATGACATGAATGCTAATTGTTTAATAAAAGTATGATTTTACAGCTCCATCTTCTGACATACGTCAGAAGAGATTTTAACAGCGAATTTGGGAAATACGAACGTAGTTCAATACAAAATTCTTGACGAATATTGTCATTAAATGCTTGTTTGTTTTAAAAATTAGTGAGATGATGAAGTTTTTTTAGAATTATATTAAGATTAGTATTTTCAATTTTGAAAAGCAATATGAATTACTTCTAGTCTGGACTCTGGATAACAGATGACTTTATTGATCACACCAATGAATCACACCAATGACAGTATGACACCATTCAGAAGTAAAAAGTTGCAAGTAAATGTAGACGTAACTTATGTAACTAACTCAATCTTTACTTTCGTAACTTCGTAAGAGACGTGATACTCAAAGAGACCAAATTTTCAATTCATGATTTGAATCTCGATACCACACAGAAATTGAATAATGAAGGGTTGTCACAGAAAGATCTTCTGGCAGCTAATTTTGAAGTTGTTTTCAAGGTTAGTGTTATAACTAAAAGCTGGAACAAAACTCGAAGTCATCAAGTCAACAGTGTGTGAGACAGTGAGTGTGACAATCGAGACAGACAGCACTCCACAGGCTTCAAACATGACGTATTGACGATTTACAAACCTTGACAAATTTGATGGAAGTAGTGGTTCCTTCGACATCCAAAATCACACAGTCTACACAGAAAGTCAAGTCAGAAGATTTATCCATTCTAATGAGAATTTAAATCTTTAAATGAATATGATATTGAAATGTGTCTCAGAGACTCAGACTCTCAGTCACCAAGACGTGAACAGACACACAACCTTTCTCACTGCTAATCGCTTACTGACTACTGAGCAGTGTTGCCAGGTTTTTTCTTGGCCTGAATACCAGATTGCCAAGCTCAAAATACCAGAAATATAGCAGAAATTCTATCGTTCAAACACGGACTAATACCTCCAAATTTAATAAAACTATTCGTCAGAAACGTTAGTTAGAAAAAAATTATCTTATGTACTGTGCAGTTATCTGGCTTGACGATAATTAGCCAAATTGAACACGTTATATTTTGTCACCTCTGTTTGGAACATTTTGACACTTTTCTTTTCCTGTGTTCGATTACATTGACACTTTTTCTTTTTTTTATCAGTGTCATTGTGGCACTTTTTCCTCTTCGCTCAACATGAGCAAGCCACGGAAACAGGTCATCTTCATTTTGCTTATTTTCGTACATGCTTGCATATTGCATTAATCTAACATTTCGGGTGTGATCACTTGTTGCGGTTGAGCAGATAGATTTTGGTCCGAATAAGGGACTCCAGTACCGTAGT